GCTGAGACCTGGAGAACCTAGCTGGAGACCTAGCAAGAGAACATGGCACAGAACTTGGTTGGAGATCCTGACAGAACTTGGTTGGAGTTCCTAACCAGAACTTCGCTGGAGATCCTGGAGGGAGAACCTCGCTATGCTGATGAACTGAAAACCAGTTTCCATGTCATTCCTTCTTCGCCGACTCCGTCCACACCTTTGGGGATCCGTGGACCCGTTGGGGTTGGACCCCAACATCTGGCACCCGAACAGGGACCCTTAGGTAAGCCCCCCATTCCCCTAGGTAAGCCCCACTCTCGGGACGGATAGGACTCCACTGTAGAAAGAGGGTGGATAGTCTTCGCCGACTCCGTCCACACCTTTGGGAACCCCTGAAACAGGATTCCCCTAGGTAAGCCCCCACCCCCATTGAGAACCCCCACACTCGGGACGGATAGGACTCCACCAGGGTGCTACAGACCCCCCTATAGAGGATAAGTAGGGTAAGAAGGTGGATAGTACAGAACTTAGATTGAGAAGATGTGCCATACTGAGTCCAAAGAAAGAAGACTCTGTATTGATCTTTTAACACATATGCTTGCTAGCAGAGGAATTAAGGTTACTCCCAGTCAGACGGAATGTTTTATATAAGAAGTATGTCCATGCTTTTCTGAGGAAGGAAAGGTGCTGGAAAGGTAAATGTAGAGGCATGGGAGAAGGTAGGCCCAAGGAGCCTTATCCTTAACCCCACTGCAGCCTTTCCACCCCGGAAAAGTGCAGGATTGGAAAGCTCTCCCTGGGGTGATAGATCAGGACTCAGGTAATAGCGGAAAGCGCCAATCCTACTCTTAAAATGGATACAAGAGAGCATTTGGGGTTTTTCTTTTTAATGCCTGCCTTGGATTGAGTAAATGCATTACATGCGTCACCACAATGGACCCAGAGGAGCTCCTTGTCCCATCGTTCCAAAGACTTAGAGTTGCCCCGATGACAGAAAAACAGAAAAAAGAAGAAAAGAAAGGCTATGGAAGGGACTGAGGTGCCAACATGGGGTCAGCTGAAGAAGTTAACAACTGAGGCCCAACAGATGGTAGAAAATCAAGAAGTAGAAGCTACTCTCTCAGCTAAGTCCGAGGACTCTGAGTAAATCAGCAAAAGAAACTTTCATTTAGCAGAAACTCACTTATTTCATCAAATGGAAAGACTTACTTACAGGAGCCTGGAAGGGACCTGATGTACTTTTAACCTGGTGGAGAGGAGATGCTTGTATATTTCCACAGGATGCAGACTCACCTGTGTGGATTCCAGACCGTCTAATCCGACCTTATGTCACACCACCCTCCGTCTCCGCCTCATCCTCCTCCTCCCCGGTATTATCCATATCGGCGGACCCAGAGGGCACAGCTGATTCCTCCCCGGACACTGACACCACCATCAAGCACCGCCCTGATGGACCCTTTGATGCAGCCCTTCAACTCGCTGACACCGGGAAGCCCACCACCAATGATGCTGCCCGAAGCCAGATCAACAAGGACAACCAAACCCCCGACTTAAGGACAGCTGAAATCCCTTGACTGAAGAGGCCAGCAACCTTCTACAGGAACAAGGCTCTGTGTGCACTCCATCCACTATGTTTATTGCTATGCTCGCTATCATTGCTTGCCGACAACCCAATCCGAGAGGTGGCGCTGATTTACATGTGCTATCATTTAAAAAATAAAAAAGGGGGAATTTGCCGGGAGCCGGTCCATCCTTGCTGCTTGACACAGTCGCTGCAGGAAAGAAACATCTGCACAGCATATGTTTCAAGGGACCTGGCATATATAGCATATTGTTCTTAATATGTTTGCTCTCCTTAGCGCCATGTGTTTTAACCAAGGTCACCTCTCCGAGAAAGGTTGTTTCCCCAGGTGGGGATCTTTCCCTGAGGTTAGGGAGGGGATACAACCCCTTAATTAAGTGCCAGGCGGGTAGTTAAGCTACATAATCTTTACTCCCTGGAATGGAGATAAGAAACGCCCTAACCTTTGTAATAGAAATTGACAGGATTAAAATCGGCTGGTATAAATACGGATGTAACAAGGCAATAAACATCAGATCGTCATCAGCTCCTCATCAGCTCCTCATCAGCTCCTCATCAGAACCTCTTCAGATCCACATCAGCTCCTCATCAGATCCACATCAGCTCCTCATCAGCTCCTCATCAGAACTTCAGCTCCTCA